TAATGAGGACTGCAAAGTTTATTTAGCTCAATCACCACACATTACTTGTTATCTTGTTTTACATTTTAAAGTGCAAGCGATGTCTTTTGAAAGAGGCATTTTTAACATTTCAGTTGTCAAACATTTAAGGGAAATTGATAGCATCGAGAAATATCAGAGACTGCAAAAGAGAAGCAAGACACACTTGTTATGCGTTTTATGTAATCAGGCAGTCCTTAAATATGGTTGCATTGTAATATAAGTGTAATAAGATGTCATATTTAATGTAGGAAGACTGTCACATTCTGATAATGAAAATCGCAGGGTGACAGATGATCACATCTTCTAGTGTTTCAGACAATCATAGCGCATGAGAGAACAAAAAAGATATAATGGGTGGTGCAGAATAAATTGCTCTCTTAGTATTTTTAAGATTTCTCCTCTATTATCCGTTTGATTAAAACATTCTTTTTTATCGAAAGAGAGCGCTTGAAATTCTCTACACAATCGTATGTGACTAAACCCTGAAACTACCTTAAATATGTTTGAAAAAAAGATAAAAAATAAAGGCATACAAAAAGCTGTAAAAAGTAACGGGTTGTACATAATGAATGGCCGCGCTTTGTATTCAATGTTTTCATCACTTCGCCCTATTAAAAGGTAAAATATACCAAAAGATGCAGCGTGAAAAGCTCGACAATTTACATAAGATCGCTTATTTTATAGTTTTACTTTTTGTTTTTGAAATGGACAAAATTTTGAGCTATCAAGTTTCGACCATGCGAAAATGATATATTTTTTTGGTACAAGATGAATTCGTGTTTTCTTATTTCTTCTTCTTATTGCCTGATATGTTCTATTAAAAAACGAAAAAAAATACACCATACGATGCAGCATGAAAAGGTCTACCATTTACAAAGAACAAATTATAAAAAGAGGAAATAAGAAAAAACGAATTCAATGTGTACCAAAAACATATACCATTTTCGCATGGTCGAAATTTGATAGCTCAAAATTTTGCCCATTTCGAAAACAAAAAGTGCAACTATAGAATAGGCGGTCTTGTGCAAATTGTAGAGCTTTTCACGCCGCATCTTTTGGTATATTTTGTTTTTCTAATAGGGCGAAGTAAGGGATGAAAAAATGGGATGCAAAGCGTGTCTATTTATTATGTATAACCCGTTACTTTTTACAGCTTTTTGTATGTCTTTATTTTTTATTCTTTTCCAAACATATCTAAAATAGTTTTAGGGTCTAGTCATATATGATTTTGTAGAGAATTTCAGGCGCTATCTTTTGATAAAAAAGAATGCTTTAATCAAACGAATAATAGAGGAGAAATCTTAAAAATACTAAGAGAACAATTTATTCTGCGCCACCCGTTATTTGTTTTGTCTGTCACGATTCTCCATTTTCTGCATATGTGTCACCGCTTTCAAAGATCGCACATAACATATTTTGATTCCTGATGTAGTTCAGCTTGAATGACATAATTAAAAATGGGATATGGGTCATTTCTAAATACATCAGGGGTCGCAGCGGCCTAGTAGGCAAAATCAGGAATCAGGACAGGAATTTTGAAGAAAAAAATCAGGATTTTCGCAGATAAATCAGGATTTCCAAAATATATGTACTATTCTTTGAAAATACACCTTATTTTGCAACAGGAATTACGAAATATCAATTGGAATTTATTTGCCGCGCTATCCCCGTTCTGTTAGCGATCTTTTTCCTTTTCTGTCGGATGCACAGCTGAAAGAGACTCAGAAAAACTATATAAAACCGACCCGATTGATACTGGACAGAGCCGAACTACTGAAAAGTTCACCAAACCCGTATAGATAGGTATTTCACTGGTTAAAGCTGAAGAGTTCATTCTATAGCTCCGTTTTTGCTATAAAATCACGGATTTACATGTTTCTTATTCAGAATATGCAAGGTGGTAGTCTCTTGAAAAGTTGGGACATTTATTGAGGAAGCGCCATTGCTGAGAGCAAAAAATTAAAATTCGGTGTTTAAACCTGCTTTAGAGGTTCCTCGAAACTACTGTTAAACGATGTTAGTTATACTTCTATTCAATCTTAATGAACTATGTATCAGTTCGATTTCACTGTACGACACACGCTACGTAGTATAAATTTTATTGGATTAAACTGGCATCGTATTGGAGCAGAATAGACTTTGAGTTCAAATGGAGTTTGATTTGCTATGCAGATTAATTGAACTCTTTAAAAACTTTGGTGTGTCGTTTAGGTTTGTCTCGAACGTTCTCTCAAAATATTTTTTTTAATGGAAAAACTATTCTGAGATAATTTTTGGAACAACTCAGTGCAGTATCAATGGGATGAAACTGTAGAACTCACGCAGGTATGTGAACAAACATAATCCACAACAAGAGAAATATGAGACAGTCTAATAGTCAGAATTTTCGATGCTCTCAGTCGACAAAGCGCATTTCTCTCACCATTCTTTGTCATTTGTTCGATTTATGAAGTAAGGGGTATCATGGCCCATCCCCACATTCATATATTGAAAGAGTATGGTTCGTCAGATTACCAAATCTTTTTATCAAAGGACTCTCCATTCGAAACATGACTCTATCACATGACGAAGTCCGTCAATACTAGAAATCTCGATGTTCCGAGAATTATCGCAATGGGATTGAACACACCGTAGTGTTATTGACGTACGCACACGACTCCTTGAGGCGCAAAAGAAGGGCCTGAGTACTGTTTGACTCTCTTCGTCTAGAGGTTGAATACTTCCGTGCAATAATCTTGCCGTTATCTTGCGATCTTTCGTTTTTTCTCCTTCTCCTCGGAGTGTGGAGGAACGCGGGGGAATGCAATTTCACCGTGAACTCACCAGTTTATAGAAAACTACACTAAATTTGACCATTTACTGTTCAGATCGTGACTGTTACATTTTAGATCTGTTTCCTCAAAACGGTTGACTTTTTCAATCGACTCGAGTTCTGATTAGATTGTGTCAGAAATATGAGTATTTAAAGACTGATAGAGATGATCAAAAACTAGTTGTCTTGAGTTTTTAGAGTGTTACACCGAGGCTCATAAGTTGCAAGGAAATAATTCCTCTCAATATTACTGTGAAAGCCGTGAAATTCCCCTTTGACGAACGACAAAAACACTTTAGGGGATTATCAGTGCTTGTAAGGAGATCGCTACTCATTTCTATGTTCGATATACCTAGTCCTTCATAATAATCGACGAGCGATGGGAAAAAATCAGGAAAATCAGGAAAAATAGCTGAAATCAGGACGAATCAGGACGCTCTCAAAAAAATCAGGAAAAAATCAGGAAAGTAGTGCCGCTAGGAGGCCTGAAATACATTTATCTATTCTTTTATTCAAATAAAGACATGAAGACGTGATTCATTATTCTTTTAATTGAAACAAATGTTTGCGCCTTTATACTAAACATTTAATTGTGTTCGTTTCAATTTAAATAGAACGTGTCTATCGGAATAGATGTTACTTGTTGTCGAGGATTCCTATGTTAAACTCTTAAAATAGCAAACAAATGCAACAAATACGCAGAGTCAAATTTCGGAATCGAGCAGGCATGATAGAAAATTTTACTAGATGGTTTCTTTATGATTTTCCATAAGCAAGAACTCATTAATTGTTGATGCTGATGTAATAAGAAAAATAGCTCTGTAAGACGTCAAACAGCGAAACCGAGTGTAACAAACATTCCTTTCAATTTTCTACCATACTATATGTTCAAGTAGCATACAGAAACAAAATCGAAAAACTAACACCAATTATAGACCACATATTCTCATTATTAGAATATGATTATCGAATGTTTGATAATGAATATCCCTTCGTGCAATTTGCCTACATCTTCTGATTTTGTTAGTCTTTAGATATCATAGCTTTTTCGAAGAATGCATCCTTATCAAATATTTTAGATTTATAAGACTGAAGTTAACATATCCAACTATTCAAACACTAAGTTCAGATGTTCAGATATTGAACTATTCGCGAAAATACGTTCACGGCATCTCTCTCGATGCAGTTGCCACAGAAACACATTCACACAATACCACTATCAGAATATTCGACTAACTGAATTTAGTAATTGAGTAGTTTAATATCTGAATATCAAATAAAGTCTTCAGTAGTTGAATTCAACTTTCAGATTTGACACTATTGATATGGTACTACTTTTAAAATGGATACTATAGAAAAAGCTTCACTTGTATCGAGTGAATGAAATAAGCAATCATAAAATGCTATAAAAAGACTCAATAGAGATTGTTTTTCATGAAGTTGCAGATTCTGCTGCCACTAGTGATTAGTTAGAACATTATTATTAAAGGAATGCACAGAGCGGACTCGTAAAAAAACATTGTTTTTCATTCAAAAGTAAATTTTCACAGAAAGATAAATTCTGTGTCTCATTCATCTAGTGTTCCATATAAATAAAAATTTAAACAACAGATTTTACCAGTTTCGTTTCTGTGATTTTCAGACT